GGGGGGGGAGAAGAAAACAGGAAAAAAAATAAAACCTTCGATAAAGTGCATCGTGTGCAGACCACTTAGCAAACAGTCAGGCTTCCACTTGTCTTTTTCATATCAGTGAAATCGAATACTACAGTTTCTGTTGTAATATTTCATGGCCTATTTTTTTGTCTTTTGCTCATAGACTGATTTTGATCTCAGAATATCGCATTCCCAACAGAGCACACGGCCATACGTCCCGCCCCCTCTGTTAAAATCGAATGAAAACAAAGACGCACGCAACAATAAGCACAGCAAGGGCAAATTCAAGGTATTGATTGGGTTTGCAGATCAACAGACATGTCTTGGTTTTCAGGTTCTACTGTTGGATATATAAAGGTTATATAGGACTGGCCATGAATGTCTTTACGCATTTTCCTAAACATCGATAGCAAGGCACGCTTTGGTTCACTTAGTGCTTTATAAAGATCTCATTGTATACAGTGCAACTATGATAATGCTATACTGAGATGAAAAATATATCTTAAGCGTCAGCGATACGGTGTTGTATGTACCTTTGCATATTTTACTTTAAAAAATACGAAAAAGAAAGAAATGGCTATTCATGTATTCCCATCTGAGAGATAATATGTTTTATAAAGACATGGATTTAAACCAGTATAACATAGAAACAGCTTTTAAAGTAGCCTATCATTGCCAGTTGCCGCAGTGCAGCATTTGCCCCGTATTTTTTCTATTTTCACAGTTACATTTCTGTGTTCAGCTAAGGACACACCCCGCTACCAGAAGAAAAGAAAGAAGGAAAGAACCACCATGACGTATATATATCACAAATTACATATATATATATATGTATAATTAATCATAATTATTGTATTCATTAGGCGACACAAATATGTATAGGTGTGCTAAAAATAAATAAATATTGAACTATTACTGAACAGATCAAAGTTGAAATACATAACCCCAAACAAGCCAACCGTGCCGTCTAAATGGCAGTGAGGGCAGCCAGCACAGCCAGCTCATCCCTGCCCTCACTGTTGTAGCTCACGGACACGCCTGGGCTCGCACAGCAGCCACACATTAACGCTAGCGCACATGCCGCGGTCCCAGAGCTGGGGCAAGGTGCACATGACACACAGGAAGAAAGACGGCATCGGTCATGGAAGGAAACATGCGACTACAGAAAAGGTGTCACGCCATGGCAAGTCAAATAAGAAGAATTTGTACAATATTCCTGGGATCTATATCGATTGCTGGTTTGTGTTGTCATGAAAGCTTTGTTGAGGCCATTAATTTGAGCTTGTATTTTTTTGGTCTTTGCTTCAATCATAAACCAAGATCCAAGATCTATTGATTCTGAATGATTTCAACCAGTTTGAGGTGGGCAAAAAGGTACGAAATCAAACTATTCCACTTTACAAGCCTACTTTCTCCAAAATTTACAGTTTTTAAAAAATAAAATAACGTTACTATTAATTCATTTTGATTACATAATCCAATATGGCGGCTTGAGATCACTAAAAAATTACATAATAAAAGCTCTGTATATCATCTTTCCAATTCTGTGACATGACCTGAATGGCTCTGACAGAGGAGTGCGCTCGTCTCCGGCCATGCAAACTTGCGCAGATCGATGGAACGAACGGCACAGTAATCTGTGGCCCAGGTAATCGACGGACCCCTCGTCTCTCCGAGCTGGTGCGAGGGTTATTTATGTTTATTTTTCTTTTAATTACGACACAGCTAGGCGCTTGGGGATGGGGGTGGGGTGGGGGATGGAGGGCGCAGAAACGTGTCACCGGGAAGGGCAGCAGTTGAAGGAAATGGAGAGAGAGAGAGAGAGA